TAAATTTTTTTAAATATTATCATTATATTCAATTTTTTAATTAAAGTTACTTATTAAAATAAGTTTAAATTTCTTTTAAAATTTAAAATATTTTTAAAATTTTAGAATTAGAATCTAGGTCCTAGGATTAGGTCCTAAATTAAGTATATTTATTATTTTAAAGGTTTTTTTTTATTTAATTAATAAAATAATTGATATATAATAATTATTAAAAAAATTAATTAATAGTATATAAATTAAAATTATCTTTAAATTCTTTAAGACCAATTAGGACTTATTAGGACTTTTGCCAACCTTACTTGTCGTAGTAAAGTAACACATGTTATAAAAGAACTATTCCTAGTGATAACACTGATGCTATTCCAATTGTTTATACAAACATTTTTACTATTATATAAAATTCCAGATATTTTAAATATTAGAGCAAGAAATATCTTTAAAAGCAAATAAAATAAGTATAATAATTTGAGAATAATTATATTTATGAAAAAGTAAGCTATCAACTATGAATATTAATATAATCTGTATATTTTCTTTATTTCTATCATAATTATTATATAATTTAATATAATTAAGAATTCCATAAATCCAAAATATTGCAGAAATTTAACATTAATATTAGAAAATTTTGGTTGATCAAAGCCATGTAAAAGTCTATAAAATTATAAAAAGAATAATAAGTTAACTTTCAAGTTAAGTATATTATTTATTATTTAATATAAAAAAGTTATTAGTAGATAAAGGAAAAAGGATTATGACAATTATGAAGAAAATCGTTCTACAATATTTTTTTATTTAAGTCAAGTTAGAATTAGGATTAAGCTAATTAATTGATAATCTATATTTATTAAATATCCACTATTTATCATTCTTATCTACGTCAATTACAAAAGCGGTCAAAATGATCGATCAAAAAGCTCGAAATTTTTCTTCAACGAATCGTATTTATTAATTCTAAAAATGAAGGCAGATCATTTTGCCTCAATTTGTTCATGTTTTTTTCATGTTGTTTAAACCAATGTTTTCGAAAAAGCGTTAGTCTTAAGATAGATATTAATAAATTGTATTATGTCGATCCCAAATTAGATTTCTTGGATCGATCTTAGACTTAAAAATAAAGAAAATTAATATGCTGATGATTTCGAAAGTGATCATCAAAAAAATTTGTTCGCTTTCTCAGTATATTTTCATAGTAAAAATTAGCCAAAATGACTTCTCCAAATATATATTATCTGCAGTAAAAGCAGGACTTCCGAATAACTTTGGGTCAACCGGAAATTTCGCGCGCCTTGTGGCTGATTCAATTGTACATTAAATATAACCAATCAATGATATTTTGACACGGTTATATTAAAAAAAAATAAAAATAAAAAGTGAGGTTATTTTTCTAAGAGCAGTTAAATACTTTATTAAATCAAAATTTTAATACATTTATTCTTAAAAAAAAAAAAAAAATCATGGTAATATTACCAGTAAAATCATTCCTTGGATCATTATTATTTATAACTATCTTCATATTATTATTTGATTATTTTGAGGCGACTACAGAAAGTAACAATGGACCAAGAAAGCGAGATTATAATAATAACTATTATTATGCTATAGAGCTAAAAGATGATTCACGAATTTTACCTAGAGAAGTAGCTGAATTACTTGACATTAGATACGATGGACCAATAGGAGCATTAGACAACCATCATTTATTCAGTTCTTCAAAAGAAATAACGCATCTAGTTTCTCGATCTCTTGATTCAGCTTTTGATTTAAGTGACGAAAGTAATGATCGTGTTTTACTTAAGTTTCGTTCAATAAAAGAAGAAAGGCAACAAAATCCTTCATTAATAAAAAGGTCTCACGAGATAATTGACGAAATACTTTCTGTTGAAAAGCAAAAACTGAGAAAAAGGCATAAGAGAGTCCCTCCTCCAATTCCTCAACCAAAGAACAAAGTTGATACAGAAGATATAGGCACCGCTTATGGAATTCTTGACCCAGGATTTAAATATCAATGGCATTTGGTGAGTTTTTCGTTTTAAACATGTTTTAAATTCAACAACTTAATTCATGTATTTTATTTTTACCTTTTCAAATAATAGGTTAATACATTGGAAATCGATCATCATATAAATGTTACAGATGTATGGAAAGAAGGTAACGCAAATATAATTATAATATAATATTTCATCAATTGTAATTTAATGGGATCATTGTATGTATTAATTCAATTATATACTATCAACAAGGTATAACTGGTAAAGGGATAATAGCAGCTATAGTTGACGATGGCTTAGATTTTGAGAGTGAAGATTTGAAAGATAACTTTGTATGTAGATTATATTGATTTTTTTCTATGGTCTAATTAAATAATATCTTCATATAATCTTGTGATGTGATCTGTAGTATAAAGAAGGATCTTACGATTTTAACGACCATAACCCGTTACCAAAACCTCGACTTATTGATGATAACCATGGAACGAGATGTGCTGGTGAAATTGCGGCCGTAAAAAATGATGTGTGCGGTGTAGGAGTTGCCCCAGATGCCAAGGTTGCAGGTAATAATAATAATTGATTAATTTGATGTAAAAATTGAAATAATGAGAATTTAACTTTAAAATTCATTTCATAAGGCATTCGTATATTGTCGGGAGAAATTTCTGATGTAGATGAAGCTGAAGCGCTTAATTATAAATTCCAAGAGAATCACATTTATTCATGTAGTTGGGGACCACCTGATGATGGTCAATCGGCTGAAGCTCCCAAGGGGCTTATTTTTAAAGCTATTCTCAAAGGCATTAATGAGGGGCGTGGGGGTAAAGGTAGTTTATTCGTATTCGCATCAGGCAACGGAGGTGCCAATGATGATAATTGCAATTATGATGGATATACAAATAGTTTATATACAATGACTGTTGGAGCGGTTGACCGCACTTTTTCACATCCGTATTATGCGGAAAAATGTTCTGCTCTTTTGGTGACAACTTATAGTAGTGGAAGTGGGAGTTTTATTGTAAATATAAATAAACATGAATGAGATTGTTTATTATTTATTTTTTACGTTTAATATACTCATATATCATTAATATATTTTTATCTTAGTATACTACGGATGTTGGACCAGGTAATTGTACCAATCTTCACGGGGGTACTTCAGCCGCTGCCCCAATTGCGGCAGGAGTTTACGCTCTTGTCCTTCAAATCAGGTAAAAATTTTATAATATTTCATTGAGATTTTGTTTGGTTTTTGGTTTCCTTTCAAACATAGAACGAAATGCAATGGTAAAATCAAAAAAAAAAACTCAAGACTTATTCACTAATTTATTTATATATACATCCTTGAATAATTATTTTGATTTCGTCCGTGTATTTTAAGATTGAAGGTTCAATCGAGTCAATGATAATGAATTAAATATTTATAATTATTCCTTTTTTCCCCCTTATTTTTATATTATCATATAATTGCAAAGACCGGACCTTACTTGGCGCGATATGCAATATTTGCAACTTATCAGTGCTGTTCCGTTCAAACTTAAAGATCCTGAGTGGGACCGTAATGCCGCTGGACGTTTATTCAGTCACAAATATGGTTATGGATTACTAAATGCGTATCGAATTGTTCAAAATGCTAAAACATTTAAAAATCTTGGGCCTCAGGTTTTCTTGGAAATTCCAACCACCATAGTAGATAGACCAATACCTATGAATGATGTAGGTATTATAAGTGGTATAGAAGTAAAACAAAGTGACCTCGATGACGCTAAATTTGGACGTTTGGAGCATGTCACAGTTACGGTTAATATAGAGCACTCTCGAAGAGGCGATATACAAGTTGATTTAATTAGTCCAAATGAGATAATATCACATCTTGGAACTCCAAGAATGTATGATGAACATCGAAGTGGTTTAACCAATTGGACTTTTATGAGTATAAAGCATTGGTAGATATTATTTTTGAAATATAAATTATAATCCTTTTTGTTAAGTAACAAGATTTATTTGGAATCTGTTTTTTAGGGATGAAAATCCAGTCGGTAGATGGGCTCTTCAAGTTAGAGATACTCAAAATGCCGAATTTACGGGAACATTTATTGACTGGAGAATAAAGCTATGGGGTGAACAAAAGAATATTACAGAAAAACCTGTTTCGACAACTGTAACACCTACAACGTTAGTCACAACTTCTCCCGAACCTTCCTCCGATGGAAACAAAGTTAGTACGACTGAAGAAGTTAAGCCAACAAATACAAATTCATCCAAAGAGAAATCATCTCAATCAAGTACATGGATTATAGCAGTTCTCGGTATGGGATTTGCTTTCATATTTGCTGGATTAGCATATTTTGCCAAAAAACAATTTTGGGATGCAAATGGTGGAAAAGGAAAAAAATTCTTTTCGAAAGATCTATACGATTCATTACAGACTTCAGATGCTTCGAATATGGGTGAAGATTCTGTTCCTTTAACTAGAGGCAACAAACAATTTATGACTTCAAGAGAATTATTTAGTGCATTTGGGGATAGTTCTGGTGAAGAAGAAGAGTATGACGATGCAAACACTAAAGTGGTATTTGAAAATTCATACATGGATAAATATATGAATGAAGATGATAAAATTGAAAGCGAAATAATTAATGAAAAGAACCTCGAAGATGGTGGTGACGCAAGTGGTTCAGGGAACTAAGGCAAGGTGTTAGTGGTGAAAGTTGGCAAGACTTTTCGCGTTGACAGGAAGTGAACCCCGGGATAACTTCAACCGATTAGCATTTCGATTTTATAAGAATTTCTCCCCCCAAAAACAAAAATAAAAACAAAAAAACAAAAAAACAAAATCAAATCAAACAAAAAAGAAAAAAAAAATTTTTCAAAAAAGGTCATTTTCTTTATTTATTTATTTTTTTTTTTGCGTTAAGTGCGTATAGTCTTTTTAGAGGTACTATATAATAACATAATTAATCAATTAGTGAATTTTTTGTTATGATCTATAAAGTTTAATGTTTGTATTCCTTCACTCGAGATTTTTGGAAACCAAATAAATTAAATAATTAAATCCTCTTTATAGAATATATATATATATTTCCGACGCAATATCAACAAAGCAAGTTATATAAACTGCATTTTTAAGGAAACAATATTATATAAATTAAAATTCATAATTCAAGGGTTCCATCATCTAATTCATCATGAATCAAAACGTAATCGCGAGAACTAAAACCGAACTTTATAGTATCAGAAGCTTTTAACTCATAATATCTTGAAGGTGGAATTGGATTGTTATTAACAAAAGTTTTATTTGTTGAATCAAGATCTATCATATATGGTTTGATTTCAGAAAACTTCTCTCCAGATTCATTATTAGTTGTGCTTGCTTGACGAAATTGCAACACAGCATGCTGAGAGGAACAGCTAGGATGATCAATTGGGATATCAGCTACCTACATTAATAAAAATATATTTTGAAAAAAATTTTTATATAATTAAAGGAATTAACAAAATAAAAAGATCATTTGTTATTTACTTTTCTCTCTCGTCCAAATAAATATGCGCTCTGTCGATGTATGTGTAGAATATCTAACATAAAGAATAAATAAATTATAATTTCATGTGTTTTTGAATAATCATCGAAAATTCATCGAAACGTAGCTTACCTATTTCTTTGTCTCCCTTAAATACGTATAACCTCCATCTTTTTGTTGGTTTGCGAGCTTCTGGTGGCTCAAAGTATTTCAATACAACGCCATTATAAGAATTTGTTTCTGCTACAAGTTTTCCAGATAATTCAAAGTTAGGTTTCGGTGCATCCTTGACTTCTTTTTTTGGAGAGCGGGATTGAGGCATCTCAGCTTCACTATTATGTGGTAATGAAAAATGTTTCTACAATATGAATGAGCGCAATGAATAAAGTTGTTTGATATGTTTTTTTTTAAGCGCAACTTATTAATAATATGGTAGTTTATTATTATATATAGATTTTAATATTATAAATTAAAGATTACATAATAAACATTTTATTATTTATTATTTAATATCGTGTTGGCCAATTACGTCTACTTTTTGTTCCCAACGAAATGACGGAATGACGGAAATGACGCGATAAATTCGAGCGCTTCTTACCAATATTATACAAATTGAAATGTTTCAGAGTATTCAATCAATATATTTATTTAAATAATTAAATGTATTTTAAACTAATGCCAAGAAAACCCATCATTTGAACTTTTTTTTTGATTCCCAAAAAGTATAATTTTATTTGCTTTTTTTTTTTGTTTTTAATGTATTTATTCAACAAAATAATAAAACTTTTAAAGCCCAAGGAATAAATGATTTTAAAATTTTTAAATTATTTTAATTTTGCAAAAATCTTAGGTGCAGCCTATTAAAAATGAAAATGAAAAAAAAAATTAGATAAAATAATAATGTATGTTGAGAATAAGAATTGAACTTACACAATGGTCTACACAATGCATAAAGTGTAATAATTCTTCAGCACCTTTTCAAATGATTTTGATCAAACATGATAAAGTGCATTTTAGTAAATAAATTTTTTTTTTTAAAAAGAAAAAAAAAAAGGAAAGTCAGTCAAAGAAAATATTTACAAGTTTCGTCGGTTCCACCTGCTTCAACACGACGAGTGCATTCTTCAAGGTGATGTTTTAAAGGTTTACAAGCTGTAGTTTCACCGCATTCTAATTGAAAATAATTTTATATTAATAATATTATATATATATATATGAATGTATTTTCCTCAAACCTTTTTAAACTTGGTCTAACCTTCTTCGATCTGTGGCTTAAGATCTTCAGGTTCTTCAGGTGCTTCTTCGATCTCGGGTTCATTAGCTGGAGCTTCGGCATGAACAATAGGAAACATACTGGTTTCTGTAATACTCAATTTTTTTGACATAATTGTACCTTTTTTTTTTGGCTTCGTATGTTCAAAAGAAAAAAATAAATATTAAAAAAAGCAAAATATTTTTTTTTTTTAAATCTTATCGGCAGTGTGACAATTCGGGAGATTGGATCGAAAGCGATCTTTAAGATCGATTTTTAGACCGATTTTTTTAGGATCGATTTTTTGAACTTTTAAACTTTTATGAATAAATAAAATATATATTTCAATATCTTTGAGCAAAAATTTAAAGTAAACAGGAGGAAATCTCAACAACTTTTAATGGCAGAAGATTGAATGGGCTGTATTTTGATTCATTCTAAAACATCAAACGACGAAGGCGGCAAAATTATTCTTCTGGAAAAATATTGGATATCAAATTTTTGCACATCAATCGAAGAATTATAACCATTACGTTAAAGACATGCCTCAAAGAGAGAATGTATACAACATTCTGCTTTTAAATCATACTTCTTTTTGGGGAATTGATAAAATGAAAAAATACTTTTTAATTATTAGTATTACAATATTGTTGAAACAAAAAATACTAATTTTATGAACAATAATGCCAGTTAAAAAATTAGTGGGGGGAAATTTTTTTTGTGGTGATACAGTGACGTTACTTTGCATGTGAACATGTGAACGTGAACTAAATTTTTTTGATTTATAATTCCACTTTATAAAACGAATTAGTTTAAATATTTATACTTTCCTCTCTTTACTTTATCCATGAATGAAAGAAATTTAAATTTAAATATTAATACACCAAATCTCACACCAAATAATGAAGGAAATAGCTTTGGACCATCATCATATGCAGGAATAAATTTCACACAGCTTATCTCTGGAAATACCATTTTTCCAAAACAACCAGTTAGATTAGATTCGGATAGTGAATCGAATAATTCTCCAAGGAGACTTGTCTGTAATTTTTTAAAACAACATTCTTCTTATGATGTATTACCTGTTAGTTATAGAATAATAGTCTTGGACACCAGTTTACTCGTTAAAAAGGCACTTGCTGCCTTAATGCAAAATGGTATTTATTTTTTTCAATAATTATATTCCTTTTTTTTTTATCATCAATTCCTTTTCTTTTAAAAAATAAAAAAAAATAAAATTTCAAAAATTTGAGTGATATTTACTAAAAAGAAAATGAACTTGCTCAAATAAATATAATATTTTTGTGATTTAATAATGATAGTTATTTCAATGATGCCGTAAAACAAAAAAAAAAAAAATCATATGAAATTTTAATACTTAGGAATCGTATCAGCCCCACTTTGGGATTCAACAAATCAAAAATTTGCTGGAATGTTGACCGTATCAGATTTTATAAATTTAATACAATATTACTATAAACATACCTCTTATGCTGTTGCTATGGAAGAAATTGAACAATTTCAAATTCAACAATTAAGAGGTAATTCATGATATATTTATTTATTTTATCTCGTATAAAAAAAAATGTTAAAAGCTAATAAACCATTTTAGATGTCGAAAGTCGTGTTGGTGCACCACCACCACAATTATTATCGATACATCCTCTAAAATCATTGTTCGAAGCATGTAAATTATTGGTAGAAGCACGTGCACATCGATTGCCGTTGGTTGATACGGATTCCGAAACTGGACAAGAAATGATTGTATCTGTGTTGACCCAATATAGAATACTGAAATTTATCGCAATGAATGTGAGTATATTTCGAAAATCATCAACAAGGCGCGGTTTTCTTTACTTGAAATTAACTATGATATATTTGATAGTGTAAGGAGACTAAAGCACTAAAAAAACCTTTATCGGAAATTAAGATTGGCGTTTATGAAAATCTTGCTACTGCTCAAATGTCTACACCCGTTATTGAAGTTGTAAATCTTTTTGTGGAACGTCGAATATCTTCAGTCCCCATAATCGATGAAAATGGTAATCATAAAATAATAGAAATGCATTTATCATCTTTTGATTTAATTCCTAATATATATATATATTTAGGTAAGGTGTTGAATGTATATGAAACGGTTGATGTAATGGTTTGTAATGAAAACATTATACAATTGAGATTTATTTCACTTTATTCGCAAATTTTAATAAATCAATATTTATTAGACTTTGGTTCGAGCTGGTACATACCATGTAATGGATATTTTAGTCGGCGAAGCATTATTACGTCGTCCTGAGGTAACTTATAAATAAATATCTTGAATAGATGTCGTTACTCTTTTTATTTTTTATTAACTATTTTTTGCGTCATTAATCATTGCAGGATTTTCCTGGTGTTCATACTTGTACACTAAGTGATACACTTCATTCAATATTTGATTTAATAAAAAATGCACCAGTACATCGTTTAATAGTGGTAGATTCTGAAAATAAGTTACAAGGAATCGTTTCTTTATCCGATATCATGCGTTATTTAGTTACTTGATGTGTCATAAATCAAAGTTAGCTTATATTCAACTTTATATTATTTTCGAAAAGATCGATATTTTATAAATACTAATTTGACCTAGGTTTAAAGATTTTTTATTTCTATATCATAAAACTAAAATTTTCAAAAATGAAAAAGAAAAAGAAAATAAATTGTTTTAATTCTGTAAAAAAAAAATCAATGTTGCTGATAAGAAATAAAAAAAAATAATTTTTTTTAGTTAATTATAAGATAATCATATAGAAAGAAGAAAGAAATTCGAAAGAAAAAAAAAGTAAAGTATTATCTGTGTTATGTATGCATGATATTGATTGTTCATTATTTTTTTTTTTTTTTTGCTATATATATATATTATATATATAATATAAGAATTTAAAGAATAATAATAATAATAAAATCGAAAGTAAAGGTAGGTCAAATAAAATTAATAACTTGGTAAGACTATATATAGATTTATATGAATTAAAAAGAAACTTTGCAACGTATTTTTTTTTTTTTTAAAAAAAAACCAAATTATTACAAAAAGAAAAAAAAACCATCCACAATACAAGAAAATACACTTAAATGAGAAGGATTATAACATTTTTGAAAACTTTACCATTGTAATATGAGAAATATATATATAATTTTTTGAGGAAAAAAAAAGAGAAATAGAGAAAAATATAGAAAGAAGTTATTATCAAAGACGTAATGAAATTCCTTCCTTCGATTCTACTTTATTCATTACCATTCTCTCATAAGTACATCCTTTAATCCAGAGTTATCCATTATAAGCACTTCCACTTGATGGTCCGTGACCGCCTACTGAAGGTGGATGACCACCAGGAACCGCATGTGGGGAATTTGGAGCCGCCATTCCGGGGGCACCAGGAGCTCCTGTACCGGCAGCTTGAGTACCATACCCATACGGATAATATTGTCCATATGCTTCAGCGTAACCACCATTATTATAATATTGCTCCCAACCAGCCGTATGTTGCTGACCTGCGACTACTGCGGCAGCAGTTGCCCCATCAATAGATGCCAAAGATTGTGGTGGAGCGGACATACCAGGAGGAAGATCATAACCAGCTTCTGTACCTGGAGTTGCATAATGATGAGCAGTATGATTGCCATAATATCCATATGGATAGTTATAGGTCGTACCTGGAACACTATACGCATGATAGGTAGCAGCAGTCGACTGTTCCGGAGCTCTATCTTTCCCCCAAGAACACTAATCATTGATCAAGAATTAGATTAGGTACGTTAATCGAGTTCTCAAATATTAATTTATTATTTAAAACTCCCTTTTCACGAAAGTTATTACCTTAATGACTCTACCATTAACACTTGCATTTTGAAGATTTACAATTGCATTGGCCGCGTTTTCATGTGTATCGAGTCTAAAAGCGATGAGTAAAGTAAATTAGTTCAGAATACTGCAATAATAAGTTCCATAAAAAAAAAAAATCTCATTTCTTACTTTACGAATGCAAACCCACGATCTGCTTGCATGCGAACTTCAATAATGTATCCAAAGTTTTGGAAATATGGCATCAAATGTTCCTCTAAAGTAAAATTGAAACCTCATTAATTATTGATCCAAATATTAATTAACCCTAAAAAAGATTGAATTAAAAAAACTTACGTGTAGTATAAGGTGGCAAGTTACCGACATATACCGTACTGTTGTAATGTGGAGTTTGCGCAACGACGATCTCATACGATAATTGAGGTGCTGACGTGGGTGTCCCTAATTATTCGGACAAATCCCCCAATATCAATGATTGACAAAAACATTAATAACGAAAAATTAAACAATGCGCTACCTTGTCGTTCTGATGTTGCGCTCCCTGGACCCGGTTGACCTTTTTGATTGGCCCAATTGCATCGGATAGCACGACTTCCAAGCCATTCACCTAAATTAAAATAAATAATTTTATACATTACCTTCTAATATAAATTAAACCGTTGCTGCAATAATTTTTTCTAGGTTCAAACTCACCATTCATCGTTGCAATAGCTTGTTCAGCGTCCTAAAAATTACAAAAATTATAAATACCAATATAATTCAAAAAAAAAATGATTTCCATTCAAAATCGCAATCATTTTCGTCAAAAAGTATCTTAACCGCTACTACAATCGTCAAATCCGTTAACGGTAGTCATCTCCAAGACTTACGGTTTTATCACGGAAAGCTACAAATCCATACCCCCGAGATTTTCCCGAGTTTACATCCCACATAACACGAGCATCTCTGATAAAAGACATCAAAAAAATTTAAATAAATAACACGTTAAAATAAAATTTTCAAAATTTTAATTTCACAAAATTACTTACGACATGCTTCCAAATGCACTAAAAGCTTTGGCAAGTACTTCGTCGTTAACTTCAGGACTCAAATCACCAACAAAGATGTGGTAATGATCTTAGTTTATTATAGAATAATAAAGCAGAAAAAAAGAAAAAAAAAGAAAATAAAGAGAATAAAAGGGAAAAAACAAAACGGGTTCAGCAACATAACACGATGAGCACTTAATAAGAAATAAATAGTGATGATACTTACTTGATGTGTCTTCTTTATGACCTTGTTGTCCTTGAAAAGCCCAATTCACTTTAATTTCCTAATAATATGTAAAATATTAAAAATCATAATATATATATATAATATATATTTCAAAGAATAATAATTTGTAAAGAATGTTCAAATACCATATTGTATATTTTTCTACCATTAAGGGTCTGGAGAGCTTGTTCAGCAGAACGATGGTCATTAAATTCAACAAAACCGTAATTTAACCCTCCATGTTGGTACTGTCAATAATTGGAAAAAGAAAAAAAAATTAAAATTGTTGTCAGTGATCACGATGATATAGGAATATAAAGATAAGCAAAGTGTCCGTATTTCTAAAGTTTTAAGAGATCAGCATACGAGCCAAATCGGTACTTTTGTCTTGTATTTTACACTCAGTCGCCCCACACTAAAACTAAAGCTGCAAAAGTATATACATATAACTTTGATCAAAAAGTTAGACAAATTTTTTACTAAAAATAAAATAAAATGATAGAAATATATATATATATATTTATATATTAAGAAATAAAAATAAAGTAGAAAACGAATGAAACAAAAAAAAAAAAAAAGATAACTAGACAGAAAAGTGAAAAATAAAACTAAATTAAAAAAAATTTTTTTAAATAATGATTGAATAATAATAATAATAGAAAATAAAAAAAAAAGAAACATTAGGGAAAGAGATGCGGATATTGAGGGAAGATAAAGGAATTCCAACCTTTGAGCTGCGTCAATTAAGTATGGAGCGCAACTCGAGTGTCCAGCTTTAGGTCAGTCATCAGGGATACTCCAACTAGAGCTTGCTTTAGAGCTTGCTTCAAAAAGCGCCCTCGTTTCAAAGAAAAAAAGCAATTTGCCAATCACACCACTGAAGGTGATCAAGATTAAGCTTCAGTCTAAACCCCCTCTACCCTTATACTCGTACTGGCCTGTCGTGATGATAGGTCAACTCACATTTTTATCAGGAATAATTTTCGTATTGTTTACAGATCCCGCCACCCCAAAGATCTCATGAAGCATGCTGTCTGTTACTCTTGGATCAAGGTTGCCCACATAGAGACTTCTACATCCTTCATCTGTGGTGACCATATTTGATATATTATACGTCGACTTATCAATGTAAAAAAATATTTTGTCAATAATTTAAGACGAACGTTAAGGATGATCTCTAAGTCGTAAGTAAATTTATATATGCGGGACAAGAAATAAAAAAAAACTAAATATCTGAAATTATTTTTTTTTTTAAAAAAAAAAAAGAGAGAGGTAATGAAAAGTATTTGCGGAAATTGTTTTGATTGGTTTTTTGATTTTCAACAAAATACTCATTCAAGTCCACGTGGACAATATACAGGGAAAACCGCAGTAATATGATTAAAAAAAAGTTTATGGATATGCGCAATGCTAAGAGAGAGTGACATACAACAGCAAATGTATTATACCAACGATTTATGTTATCACCTTAATAAACGTCTAAATAAGTACTAATAATTATTTAACTTAAAAAAGAGTGGAATGAAAACTTTAACACTTCAAATGAAGCTTTTTTTAAAAAAATAAACAAAAATAAACAAAAAAAAAAGAAAAGAAAAATGTCTTCAGATATATGACATCTGTATAAACCACACCATTTTTACAATCCAATCAACGAATTGTTTACAATAATTATGAAAATAAACACACTTGTTATTTATCATGAATTATGCTTTACTTCTAAGGGGCGGGCAATCCCAACTTTTCTCTACCATAATCCACAAATTCATCGATGAGAACCGGCCAAGCACCTAAAAAATGATATATCTTGTAAGAAAATAATATAATATAATCAATAAAATTTAAGGTATTATTCAATTGACCTTCGGAATCATAATTTGAAAGCTCGGGATTGATTTGTTTGATAAAATCAAGCAACTAAAAAGAAAAGACAGCGAATTTAATAATCACTCAAAATTATAACTAAGTTGTCATTATTATAAGTAGTACCAAGTTCCAAGTATCCTTAGAAATCGACTTGCCATGCTTTTCCTAATTGATAGGAAAATATACAGTATAATTAATTAATCTATAGCAAGGTAAATTAATCGCACTAATTGAATGATCGCTTTTACCTTAACAAATTCTATCCATATGTCAAGATGAGGCCAACGATCGCTCAACAATAACCGCCAATATTCTATCGCTACATCGAGACCTTAAAGATATAATTAAAATAAATTAACCACTATTCCATATACTAAAAAAATGATGTAAAGTAGTACCTACTTAGAGATTTTTGATTTTCACTTAATCCAAACTTAAACGTAAATTGATAAATCTCTTTAAATGTACTTTCCTCCTTCAATGACTGTCGAAGCCGAGGTATAGCAACACGCATTTTTTCAATAGAATCACATCTAATAATATAAATCAATAAAAATAAAGTAATTAAATAATTAAATTTCTTAATTACTCTATATTCACCTTAACTTAGTCCACCCGTTGATAAAACCCTGACGCTTGAATTCAATTTTGTCAGCCTCAAGATTCCAAGCTAACACCAACATTACAACATCTTCAGGAGCAACGCCAAGATCGTTACAATACTCTAACATACCATCAACTAAAATAGCATCTTCATCCTTATCTATTGATATAAAGAAAGATAAGTCGATCAATAAAAAACGAGCACTTAGTCTTTGGAACCAAAATGCGATCCATTTCAAAGAGAAAGCATATCTTTTGGGATACGCTTACGAAGTATTAAATTTATTTCTAATAGATAATCCAGATCCTTTTTAGTGTGAAATGTAGTTTCTTTTTTAGACAACGACGATACGCGTTAAAGGTTTCAACCACACACCTTTATATTTAGAAAAGATCTGGTTGAGCTTATACGCGTCAACTCCCGTTGAACTACTCGTTAAACCTCTCCAAGAGCTACCACTAGATTGGTCATTATAAAAAGCGTCTACCGCTACCTCGACGTTCCAGTTACATTCTTTAAGTTTTCGGATGGAAACCCTTTCACTGAGAAATAAAGAAGTTACTAAAAATATTTCCTTATTATCGATCAAGCATCGGACAAAAACTATAAATTTATAAAATATAAATACCTAGCACTTGTAAAAGCCATGAACTGTCTGAGCTTTTCCTTTTGAGAGGACTTTAACGAATTCTGAAGTAAATAATTTTAGTAACTTGATAATTCGCTAATCACAAGCCAATTTCTACAGCCTTTGAAACTTACCATTTTATTTGTTAACAAAGTTTATGGGGAAAGTACGCTGTTATTCAGAAAATTTATTCTTTTGCGCTAAATTTGAAAAGAAGCGGTTATCTTTTATATAATCACATGATTTAACATTCCATTTATCCAAAAATGAAGTTGATATATTTGATGTAACCATTAAATTACCTAATAATTATTAATTATTGCCAAAAGATATTTAATTAAAGTTACTTATAATTTTTTAAATATAAATACATATAAAATTGGTTTTAAAATCTTTTAAATTAATTAAGATCAATAACTCTTTATTTTAAATAAATAAATTATAATAAATTAAATAATAAAATATATAAATTATTTAAATTATATCTATTTAATATTATATGTTTTTTTTAAATATATTATTTTTTTATACTTTAAATAATTAAAAAAATATATTTAATTTTTTTAAAATATTTTATACTGAATGTAAATCTTCTTATATTACTAAATAAGTGATAAATCCCCAAAAAGGGATAATTTGTATTTAAAGCCAATAGCTATATTGATCATAGATTTTTTTATAACTTATTCTTTTAAAATTTTTTTTTTAGATCAATTGTAAATCAGTTTATTATATAAATCAGTTTATTATAAAAATATATTAATATATAAAAAAGTGATTTACAATCTTTTTACATAACTTTATGTATTAATTAAAAGAGTTTATTTCTAATATATTTATTTTAATTTATTATTATATGAAATTGACTGTTTAAATAATACAGGTCAAACACTGATCAATCAGATAACTTACTGATTTGTCACTGTTTTTTGATCAGCATTCAATAAATAGAAATCAGTAGATACTACAACCAGGTATAATATCTGATTTATAATTATTAAATAGAATTACATAAATCAGATTTTTAACCTAATTTTATACTTATATAAACCAGTGTTAGCAATAGCTATGGCCAACCACTTTTCTTGATCATTATTCATAATTTGGCTTCATGGCCAAAATTAATAGCTAAAGTTCATTGACAATTAGCCACAGCCAACTCATGATTTTGGCTGATTTTGGCTGATTTTTTGGCTGATTTGCTGATTTGGCCAATTTTTAATGATCACATATCATATTGATAATCTGTTTTTAACAAACCCTTTTTATTTCTAAATTAACTTTTAATGATAATGAACAAACGGCAAAACCTTTTGAAATATTTTGAAGTTTTATCTGAAAAAGCAGATAAGTGGCATAATTATACAATCTGTATTGAATTTGAAAAAGTTGTTAGTAAGGAATATATTATTGAAAAAAATTTGTTAATAAAATTAAGCAGATTATAAACCATTTAAAAAATATGATAATTTTAAATCTTAGTTTCCTAAGAATGAGGTAAATAAGGTTCTTGAAGTAAATGAAAATGAGAAAACAGGTAAACTCGGATTTCTATTCCAATTAATAATAAGAGATTACATGGTGAATAAAATTCTGCTTTAAGTAAGTAAATTAATATTTAATTTTTATTATATAGATAAATAAATCAATTCAAAAACAACTTCTGGTATATCAGAACCACTTGATCAATTTGTTTTTCATCCTTTTTCTAAGAAGGATAAAGACACGTTTGATAATTTAGTTTTAAAAGCAACAGTATCAGCTGGACTACATTTACAATAAGTAAAAAATAAAGAAGTAAAAGAACTTGTCGATTTTATTAATCTTACTTTGATACTTCCTGGTTGTCATACTCTTGAAAATCTGAATTTACAAAATATCATACAAAAGATAAGATTGGATTTAGAAAACAAAGTATAAACTGATTCTGTCAGAGTTATTCTATATTTTTACAGATGAACCAACGTTTTAAAACAAAATATTTTAGGAGCGGTTTTTGTTACTTCAAAAGGAAAAGTTTTAGTTTAAAAACTGAAGACATCAGCAATGAAAAGGAAAGAAAAGAAGAGATTATGGAAAAATCAAACGAATGCTTTAAGAATGCAAATAAATAAAGACAAAATTAATTGCTATAGTTACAGATAGTATTACTGCTTATGCTGCTGCTCAGTAAATAAAAATATATTTATAGTTTTAATGTATTTATAATTATTATAATTAAACTAAATTTTTTATTAGTTATAACCTTCACCTTATATATTGTAAAATTGTTTTTCTTTTATATTTTACGCATCAAATGAATTTATTTGTTTTAGAAATTTTTAAAGATTCTATTACATTTCAAGAAACAAGTTCTAATGCAATTTTGATTTATATTATATTTTCATAATTCAAATAACAAATACTTTATTGAAAATTTGCGTGAATTACAAAAAGAAAATTATGGCAATCATATATATTTAGCAATATCAGGAAATACTCATTAAAATAGTCAATATAAATGTTACTAAACTCTTATAAAATCCAAATCAGTACTTCAGATAAGTTTTTTTTTATAATATATATTATTTATTACTTATAGTTTACTATTAATATTATTTATATTTATTAGTTATTAGCATACAAATTTGAAGAATAAGATGATCGAATTAATCAAACTAATTAAACCAATCGAGCCAATTTAACCTTATCAAAAAATATTTCAAATATATTTTTTAATAATAATTGGTAGGATCAAATTCAAAAACTTGAATATTTATTTCATCCATTTTGCAATATTATTAATATTTTTATAACGTGATAAAGTTCGTTTGCATAAAGTTCTTTATAGTTTTGGATATTTTGTTAATTTTTGAAAAACATAAAGATATTGAATTAGAACAAAAGATGCTTTTGCAATTACAAAAAAGATGGTAAGATTAGGAACAGCTTTACTTTTATTATCTTGAATACTTCATCCCAATTATCATTTAGACAAACTAAATCAAAATTTAAAAAATTTAAATCATATATATTTATCAAAATGATTAATATATTATTATAAAGCATGATCAAAAAAAAGTCTAATTTAATTTTATGCAAATTTGAAAAATATTGTATTAGTACAAAATTTTTATTTGATAAACAATCATAACAATTTACTAATGATATTTTAGGATTTTGGATATGTGTTGGTCTTAAAGCTAAAGAATTAAGCTTTGTTGCTTAACAACTTTTTGGTATTTATGTTAATTCTGCTTCTATAGAAAGACTTTAGTCTTATATAGGATTTTTACATATATCTTGTCAAAATCATTTACATGTAAGTAATTATAATTATTTTTATTTAAAATTAATGATATTTATTAATTTATTAAATTTTTTTTAGTTTCAAAAAGCTTTAGATATGAGTAAATTATGAGCAATAATAAGCTATCAAAAAAAGAAAAATTATATTTTTGGTCTAATAAATACTAATAATACTGATGAATATATTTTAGAAAATAATGAAAATAATGAAAATAAATCAACTTTTAAAGAAAATGAAATTAATTTGAATAAAGATTATTTTGAATTAAATAAAAATACTAAAACTAATTGGAATCAAATAACAATAGAATGGGAAGAAATGTTAAAAGATGAATTAGAAGAACAAAGAAATATTTATGATTTTAATGATGATAATGAAGAAAATGATGTATATAATCAAATTCATCCTGCTATTGATATAAAAGCTAAATAGCAAATAATTGATTTATTTGTTAAAAAATTAGAACAATCCACTTTATTTGAAAATAGTTAAATAGAATAGATTAATTATAAAATTCATAAAATAATAAAAAATCTTACAAATTTTTTTTTAAATTTGATTGGTTAATTTAAAAATTTGGTCAGTCAAAAATGCTTTTTATAAAATTTTAAATTTAGCCAAATTTTGTCAGGCCAATAACCATGCTCACAATCAATGCTAATACTATTAATAGTATAATATATTGCATGTAATTTATTTAACTTTTGAATTTAATACGATTAATTCTTTAAATTTTGATTATAATGCAATAATTGTTTTAAGTTTCAATTTAATGCAATAATTGATTTAAATTATGATAATAATGCAAGTATTCTTTAAAGTTTCAATATAGATATTCTTTTAAATTTCACTTATAATGCAAGTATTCTTTTTAAATTTTCAATTTAATGCGATAATTGATTTAAATTTTGATTATAATACGATAATTGTTTATAATTCAGTATTCTTTAAATTTTATTTATAATGCAAGTATTCTTTTTAAATTTTGATTTAATGTGATAATTGATTTAAATTTTAATTATAATGCAGTAATTCTCGAAAATTTCAATTATCATGTGATAATTGTTTTAAGTTTTAATTATAATACAGTTTTGATTATAATGCGAATATTAATATAAGTTTATTTCACTGCAGTATCTATATTAATTGTTTCATTTATATATATAAATCATTTATTGACATTGACAAAAAACATCAATTTCAAATTTTCAAGATGATAAGAAATAGGTTTATTTCAAATATTATTGGTAATAAGCTGACAAAACTACCATCTCTACCATCTGAATCAATTCAAAAAAAAAGTTAACAAAGTTCCTTGTTATTGTAATAACTGTAATGGAAAATTAGTTTTAAATTGGATTAAACTTTTTCATAAATCTGCAAATAGTTCATTAATGATTTGTGGTAGTTCAAGTGGCTCATTAATGATTCATAGTGGTTTTGCTATCGAACAATTATATTCAAATTTTGACAAATTAATAATCAATACTAGATCACCTGCTGAAATTGAATTACAAGATTTGAAAAGTAAAATGATTAATGATAATTCACAAGCTTTTAAGAATCAAAATGACTGATTGTTATTCTAAATTATTGAATTTACCTTAAAAGTGTACAAGAAGATATACAAGTTATCTGCAAGTTACTGACGATTTAAGTAGCTCTGAAGATGAGTAACATACTAAGTCTTCATTAAGTGAAAATAGTAAATATAATGAAAGATGATATATTGAATCTTCTATAAGTGAAGAAAAAAATGAATCAGATGATTATCTTATTATTGAATCTTTTAAAGATTATTCGCTGCTAAAATATGAACCATATCAAGATGAAGAGAAAGTAATAATCGATGATCAATTTGCATGGATTTTATTATGAATAATAAACTTTTGAATTAGATTCAAAATACTAAAGAATGCAACCAAGTTTCTTATAAAATTTATGAAATTAGTTCTAATTGAAATCAGTGGTAATAAGTTTAACAGATTTTCAGGTACTGTTTATTTAGCAAAGAAATTGCTTGGTCTTAAAGACTGATTTTATAGTTTCGTATCTTATATAAAATATCATAAACTTTACAACAAAAATGAAGTGGTGAACTTTTGGCAGAATGATACTTTATTGATTATGAAATGCAATCATGTCAAATTTTCAAATTTATCAATTTGTAGGTTACGGTCTTGTAATATATTATTCTCTCATAAAATAAATAATTCAAATTTTTTTCAACCAAAATTAATTCATTTATTTGCTAGCATTTGAGAACAACTCAGTATTATGTTTTATTGATAAAGGTTCAAAAATTATCTATGTTATTGGGCTAATAGAACAAATTTCAATAACATATTGGCTAACATATATATGATAAACAAGTTTGAAAGACATTTAAAAAAATGGTTTAGAAATCTCACCGAAATTTTCAGACCTAATGTAGCCAATTCACATTTAGGCTTAATATTGAATTTTAATTAGTTTTAACCCTTCGACAGAATAATCCATAGCACTAAAATATTATATGCTACAATTTATAATCTTTCAAGAGACATTCGATTTAAGCATAAAAATTTATTAATTCTTGGAATTTTACCCAGCCTGAATGAAATGAGTTTACATAAAATAAACCACAATTTAGCATCAATTGTTGATGAATTAGAGTCACTTTGGAATGGTTTAACTCTAAGAACAAATAAATGTCAAAAAAAAAGGAGAATTCATGTAATATTAAACCTTATTTTATGTGATATTCTCACAGCAAGAAAAATTTGCAGTTATGTTTTGGCATTAGTTTCATGTCATAGGTGCAAAAAAAAAGGCAAATTATGAAAATCAGTAACATAATTTTGCTAGAATGAGTAATATAAACAAATTATTTACTCCAGTAATGGATTTTGAACACGTTTTTTAATTTTGAACAAGTTTTTGGATATATGAAATTGCGTCCAAAACCTGTACAAAACTATCCAAAATTGTACAATTTTCCAACACTAGTTTACTCCCTGTGATTTATCATAACATCGAGAGAATGCACTTGGCTGGTGAAAGTGCAATTTGAACGCTAACAGAAAGTGATTTGTAAAAAATACTAGCGTTGGATGATCCGAGTTACTCCAGTTACATACTTTAACCCAATTTGATTTTTAACGGTTGACCTAATGTATTGTCTATTTAGATATAGCAAAATAGATAATTAAACGAATTTGGATTGATGAGAAAGTTTTAACTTTAAATGTTCTTAAAAGTATTCAAAAAAATATGAATCAATTCAAGTTCCAGCAGATTTGGATAGAATCTCTCGAAAAATTAACTGTGAAGAAGGTTTTTCTAACTTCACAGAGATCAACAGCAATCATTTTATACAATTTATGCAACTACATCATTTTGGAAATATTTATCAGTAATTGACTTAACAATTCTAATACATTTTGTTCGATTTTAGTAGGTCGAATTCTGAAACTCAATTGATACAAAAAGGTCACAAAAGGTTGATTAAAATAGTAAATCTTATTGAGAAATATTACAGGCGTGATAAAATAATGCTAAATTTTTACCTTTTGCTTTATTTATGAGAATGTTCATATGATTTTAGCCCTTTATACATTTTTTGATGCTTCTCATTTGAACGTATAAATGGGATACTTAGTAATTTAGCTTCATTTTCTTTTTGCTGATTTATATAATAAAATATGCTAATAAATAACAAAATTACTTAGGTTCGTTACTGAGTAGTCATAGACAAATTAAGACAGAAATAATACACAGATTAATGAATAATAATTGTATTAGAGAAATCAGTAGTTTAGTAAATATTAAAATAAAAGGTTTAGATTTACTTGATAATTAAACTGTTATTGGTTCGTTATTAGAAGATAACAAATATTTATCTGAAGTAGAGTTTTTGTTTGAAATTCAAATTGAATTTCAAATATTAGTTTTTTAACAAATATTTAAATGAATATTGAAATTATTTCAAATATCAAAATTAATTTCAAATATTAAAAATCATTTCAAATATCAAAATTAATTTTAAATATTGAAAATCATTTCAAATATCGAAATTAATTTCAAATATCAAAAATTATTTCAAATATTGAAAATTATAATTATCCAAATATATATATTTTTTAATTTTCATTTTTTAATATTTATTTTTTGGTTAGTTATTTATAATAAAAATTATAAAAAATTTCATTTTAAAATTTTTAAAAAATTTTATTATTTTTTTTTTTTTAATTATAAGAATATACAATTTTATATAAAATTTAAAAAAAAAATTAATTTAAAAATAATTAATTAATCTTAGACGCATCTTCTTTTGCTAGGTGATTACTTTAAGCTGAAATTGACTGAACTTTAGCTAGAACTTATAGAGTTGTTTTTAGTTATTTGAAAATTTCTATTTGTACTATTTCCTACTTTAGGTATTATTTTTAGTGTTAGTTTTTTCTTTTGAAGGAACTTAAGGACTGAAAGACATTAGAAATTAGTTATTTTTTGATATCTTTATCTCTACCACTTTTTGGAGGTGGCAGTGATTAGTTAATTCAAATGAGTTTGAAATAGAATTATGAGGGATAAGTTGCGTATTTAGTATTTTATGCTAGGGTTTTCCTTTGATTTACAATACAAATAAGATACTGCAGCTAGACTGTATCAAAAAAAATTATTATAACTAATAATAGTCAAAATCAAAGTCTTCACTACTTGATTTTAATTCGTATTTATTCATATAAATAACTACCTTTTTTTTGTTTAATAGAATATGAAGTTCATTTATGTTTTTGACCTTTTTTTTTGTTAGCCTTATGTCTAACAACTTTTCTTCCTTTAGAAGTTTGCATTATTTTATTATATAAATGTAAAATAAAGTACTTAGCATAGTTCTTGACATAAGTTCACATTTTTAATAATCAATTAATTACTAATATGACTAATAATTATGAGATTTATCAATTTTCATTGATAAAATCACAGAATTTTTGAAGCAATTTTTGAATTTTGTTAAATTACCCAAAATTAAGTAACATTATAGTAAAAAAATGTTACTTATTTTCAAAGAAATATGATAACTACTTAATAAATAAGTATTATATTATTATTCTTCTATTTATTATTGGGTAACTGTAAACTATTTATAAAATTATGAAAGCTGTTATATTACTTTTTTATAATATTTTTATCTTTTAAAAAACTGACTTATAACCAATCTGAAAAAAGTGATTTCAATAGAAAGAGTTTGTAGAAAGTTTGCAATCAGTATATAACTATTGGTTTTGATTACAAACTATAATTTTTCTTTTAAATTTATCATTAATTTTAGTAGTACAAGATGATTTATACTTTAATATAATCATAAAAATTTATTAGTGTAATAAGTAAGATTAGATTATATAATTTTTTGTAAAAATTTCTATATTTTTAATGATAAAATTAATGATGTAAAAGGTATCTGCATTTTAAAATTTAACTTAACTTATAAAAGGTTGATCTGTATTTTATTTTTCATGTTTTTTTTCTATGAATAGCTTCATTTTATAGAAGTTATAGAGAATAATGAAAATATTCAGTCAAAAATTTTTTATTGAATTAACTTTAGAATGTTATTTTTTACAAAGGTTTTTATATTTAGAGATTATACTTGCATTGTCATAAAGGAACATATAA